CAATTAATTTACAAAAGTATCGCATAAATTCAGTCAGGTTGTTGCAAACTACAAATTCAAAACACAAATACCAGTTATGGAGCAACCAATCTCTATACTATCAACCAGTGTGTAAAAACTAAACTTAAATCTGCCTTAGCACACAATTGTTACAAAATACAATGAAATAGTTCTGAAACAAGAAAAAAATATGGAAAGGATCTCTATGTTGCAAATTGCAAAACACTTAAAAAGGAAATCAAAAAATACACAATAGAAAGACATACTGTGTTCAAGGTCTGTAAAACTCCACATGATAGGATATTGATTCTCCACATGTTGAACTATTAGTGCAACACAATTTGTGTCAAAATATCAATAGACAATCTAAAATTTATGTAGAAAGGCAGAGAATCTAGAATAGCTAAAACAATTTTTAAGAAGAAGGATTAGCATGAGAATTACTCTAGCTGATAGTAATTCTGTCTACATGAATATGTTAATTTAGACAGGGTTATATTGGCAGAGAAATAAACAATAGATCAAAGGAACAAAATGTAAGAACTAGAAAAATACTAATAAAAATATAACTAATTGGTTTTGACAAAGGTATAAAAACAATTCAGTTGGAAAATACCCTTTAAAGCAAATAGCACTGAAATAATTGGACATGAATATAAACAAAAATAAGCAATTCTCCCCCTCCTTACTGTGTACACACAGACATCAACCTAAATCTCATACTTGGTATGAAAACTAGGTCAAAATAAATTATGAGTTTAAAGTCAATCAGAAAAACTTTACAGCTGTTTTAAAGAAGTAAAAGAAAAGCCGTTTGCAGCCTCAGATAGATGAAGTGTTCTTCCAGGTGACATTAAAGACAAGATCCTTTAAATTTAAAATACAAGGTTCTTTGGATTTCACCATTTTTACAAGAAAGCAGAATTTTCTCATCAGTTTTCCCCACGTTCTGCCTATTATTTCTGGCTAGTGGTAATTCAGCAGTAGTGGTAGCAGTAGTAGCATCACTCATAATCCTACTCCTAGCACTTCTAGAGTGATCACAACAATCAGGATCAAATAACTTATCCTTTCAGGACTCACTAATTACAGTGTTCCATGAGTGCTTTTTCTATGTTAACTAATTTAATTCTAATGATAGTCTAAGGAATTCAGTTCTATTATCTGCATTTTAGAATTAGGACACTTAAGACATAGGAGAATAAGCAACTTACTTCTATGCACAGAGCTAGCAGTTGTCAAATCCAGAATCTTCTAAGCTAGGATGGTTTATTCTGGAGTCTATGTTCTTAATCTCTCTGTCATGCTTCAGCTCACAAATGCTAGGGTTTTGCTTTTTGTGCACAAGCTAGAAAGAAATTTGATGTTTTGAGGAGAATATCCATTCTTTGTCTTGATAATGAACAATGACATTTTGTAATAATGGTCCTTTGACAGTAGTTCCTGTCTTTTTAGGAAGTATGTAAGAGACCTCCGTGAGAATACGGGATTGAGAAAAAAAAGACAGATCTGATTTGAACAGGAAGAACTTGCATCCCCATGTTTTGGTTTAGTTTGAGTCACAGGTAGCTTCTTGTGTGCTCAGTGATGCCTCAACTGCTGTCCAGATTGTCACATCTGAGCTCCCTGCTTACCAGTTTTGTGACACTTGGTACATTGTTTAATGCCCTTTTGTTTTTACCTTCTCACTGTAAAATGAACAGACTTACCTCATATTGTTTCTGGAGAATTAAACTATAGAGGCATGATTGAATAACATGATAAATTTTTAAATTTAAAAATTATACAGACACACTGCTGTTAATCTCCCTCACTTCAGACATACTTACCCATCCTTTGGACTTTCTGAAGTGATTCTGAAAGTCCTAAGTGAGTGACTTTAGTTATATTGCCATAGATACCTTGATGTCTTAACTCAATGGAAGTTTACCTTTCATGGTCTTTTTGAGTTTGGGGAAGAGTCACAAGCTGTATGATACCTGATCTAATAAATAAGGTAGATGAGGACACACCATGATGTTTTTATTTGGCCAAAATTGCTGTAAACATTGATCAGTGTGGTGTGATAAAAATTATAATAAATATTTTAAGTTAAAAATTTATTACAATAAAAGACACATTCCCTTTCATGCCTTAAAAAAACTCATTCATGCTAGCTTTTAACACACATATCCTATCATCCTTGGCAATATAACTTTTATTGTAATGTTTTTTTATAATTATAACTTGACTGTATTTTTCCATAATCTTGTATAAGGAACAGTTCAGGACTTGGCACTAAGTTCAATACCATTTTATGAAATGAGAGTTGTAAGAAATATACCACATTTTTTCTCTGCAAAGCTGCTTGCTTAAAGCATTTGTGATAAAGTTTGCAAATATCACAGTATCAACATGACTGCCTCCAAGGAGGTAATACGTTGAGTCTTGTAAATTACCAAGGGGAGTGAAATTTCTGTAGTCCACCACACAAGGCAGAAAGCATCATTGTAAGAGTATAGGTTTAAAGTGTTTGAAACCCGGGGGACAGTTCATTAGGAGCAAGTTAATTTGGGGATGGGGAAACAACTGGAAATAACTAAAGAGGTGGCAATAAAATCAAGCATTTTCAGGAGGGCAGTGGAGTCATGGAAGGGGTTACTTCAAGAACAGTGAGAGTGAAGACCAGGCAGCAAAAAAAGAGTCCGACTTTTGGAATGTTGCATTAAACAGTAATCTCTCCCCGGCCTGTTCTCTGGCTTGGACTGCTCTTTTTGGAAAATTTTAAGTCAACCTTGACCTTTCTAGAACATCCAGTTGAAAACCCCCTGCAGGAAGACCTTTCTTTTCTCACCATTAGAACTAATGTCTGCCCTCTAATGGATTCTCATTTCTGGTTATCTTTATTCCTCTTATCTAGTGAGATCACACATGTTGGTTTGCCTAGGACATTCTGAATTTATGCCTGTTATCCATATCTTTACTAACAGTTCATCTTTTCACCTTAAAAATGTCCTGTTTGCATCGTAAGATGTGAAGTCATCCACTTAAAGCTCTTATCATTTCTCTCCTGTTTGCCTGTCAGCTGCATGTTATAAATATTAAAGTGTCTAGAGGAACAGGGATCACATCTTCCTATTCCCAGTATAGACTGGAATAATTATGAAATGAATGTAAGCTAGAAGACTGAAAACTTTGCAGGTTACTTCCTTATTTTCTTTCTTTTTTCCCTACACAACCTGCTGTTCTGTCTGCATGTATTTGGTGTATGATAGTTCTGTGCATTGGATTTGACCTCTACAGCTTTCTGTTTTTGGCCCAGTCTAGTAGTGTATCCTCATAAATCTTCTCTTCTCTCTGCTTTCAAACTTGTTCACCTTTTCCACTGACAGTTTGGGTTGGTATTAAGGCCTGAAGAAAAATTTCTTTATAAATCTAAGGTATTAAATCAAGCAGGATGCACGAGTGCGCTGTACCCCCATTGCCTGTGGGTGACTAAAGCGGCTCTATTCTGTATGATGGAACCTTTTCCGTTATGAGGTCCTTATTAGGAGCTATAAAATAAAAATTAGTGAAGACAGATAATGTTTCAGTTGAGTGGTACATTGGTTTAGCAATTCACTAAATTGAAATTTTATTTTTGTTCCTATTTATGTTATTTCTTTGAAATTTTTAGGTTGGATTTTCACTCTTGATTTATAATCTTTTATGGTTGCAATAGCCTTGTCTTTCTTCTTAAATTTGTTATGGAGTTACATTAGCATATGTTAACATAAATAAGGGGCATAAATTTCCCCCTCTTGTAATTTACAGAGTAGTCATATGGATAACTTTATAAACTTCATAATCATGGGAGGAAAGGATCCTTACTTCTAAGGTCTTGGTCTCTAGCCCAATTGAGGCCATCTTTGTAGTATGGCTCTATTTCCTTCCATGTCTAACAGACTGCTGTCCGACTATGCAAAATAAAAACACTGCACAGAGGCAAAGACCAGGGGTGGAATTCAGAGCTCTATCAAATGGGCCATGTAGAGCATTAGCCTGGTGGAGCCCCTTAAGTACAGTTCTGAGAGTAGCTCCCTTTCCTCAGCACAGTGCTGGGCTCACCAGTGTCCCCTGTGACCAGTGCTCCCCTCTGCAAATCCTGCTTGGTAAGTTCTCCCTTGCTAGGCTCCTTTACCTCTCTCTTCCTCCTTAGCCTTACTCTCTTTGCTCTAAAAGAGCCGTGCTATCCAGTGTAGGTTATTAGAGTAAAGGTTCCCAGTGGGGCACACTGCTGGCATTTGGACTGGTTAATTCTTCGTTGTGTTCTACTGTGTGTTGTACGTTACAGAACAGCACTCCTCATCTCTGGTTGCTGATTTCAGTCCTATCCCCAATCGTGGCAGCCTAAAGTGCCTTCAGAAACTATCAAATGATTCCTGGAAGAGGGATTGAAAAATTCCAGCCATTAGAGCAGCTGCCTTGTAGTCTTTGTGGAAGGCTTCTAAGGAGACAGAAGCAGTGGCTTCACAGCAGCGCTCAGCCACTGTGTGACTGTGACCATTAATCCTAGTAGGAAGCTTCACGGGACTAAGGCCCAGCAGACCACTTGGGTGACTGGGTGGATCATAAGCTGGGCTACTGCATGGTTCCTGGCTCCTCTCTCTCTGATTCCTGTCCCCTTCTCTGCTCCTGGCCACTGCAGACTCAGCAGCCTTGCTCCTCTCCATTCTTCTATCCTGATCTCTCTGTGTTGGAGCCAGTCAATCACAGACTGTATCCATGGGCAAAGTAACGTTCCTTCATTGTGAATATCAGGAATTCTGTCTCACCTGAGGAGGCAGTGACAATTAAAGTTGTTTGGCTGCTCTGGTACTCAGTCATCTTTTGGATTTGCTAAGATTTCAGCCACGCCCTGTGCAGAGACACCCAGGCACACAGGGACCTCTCCTCCATGCTGCTCATCAGCATTTTATGCATAACTTACTTTTCCAAGGCAAGAAAATGTGACTGTCTTTTTCCCTCCTCCCTGAAAACAGAGCACGATGAATGTGCCAGTGGGCAGCACAACTGTGACGAGAATGCCATCTGCACCAACACCGTCCAGGGGCACAGCTGCACATGCAAACCAGGCTACGTGGGCAACGGGACCATCTGCAGAGGTAGGTTCGCCACATGTGGGGTGAGCTGTGTGCGCTGCAGCCTGCGGGGCTCTCAGATGCTTCTCAGAGGTGCTCTCGTGAGTGCAGTCAGGGGTCCTGTTCCTGGTCAGTCAACTGGCAAGGACACTGGGCAGGAAAGAAAGGCAATGGTGGCTCAGGCTGAGCTACTGGATTGTGGATGTGTTGGGGGCGCACAGTTCCTGAGCTGATGCCTCTGTTCCTCTTTGCGTCTTTGAACCTGAGTGGGTGAGGGTTAGGGTCAGTGGCTGAGGTGACACCCTTCCCTGTGAGCTTTGCTTCCCAGGCATGAGGGTGCTGTTTGTGTCCACAGTCCAGGTATCTGCTTGAGTAAGACACAAAATGTTAAAATTTTTAACTTGGTGTGTATCAGTGCAAACAACAGTACTCTGACTTCCCACAGCACTTAGGATAAAAGTAAAACCCTCTGCCGCCTTCTGAGGCCTTCAGAGTGTTGACCCTGAGTCCTCTTAGCTGCCACATGTCTTTACTCACACATTCCGTCCCTCCGCTTCCTCAAGAGCACTGCTGCCCCCAGGTGAACTACTCCACCTCTCGGGGTCCCCGCATTCTTCAGCCACCCTATCCACAGCAGCACTCCTAGAACTCTCAGCACCTCTCAGCCCGAAACTTTCTTGATGACTTTCTTCACCTGAGGAAACCTTTTGCATCGTTGTGTTTGTCTGTGTTTCCTGTTCTTCACAAGGATACAACCAGGTGACAGTGACATCTCGGTCTTATCACAGAGTTTGTTCCTAGCAACCAGAATGAGCCTGGCATAACTTAGGTCCTTATTAACTGTGTGTTAACGGGCTGCACAACATATTTTTGAGGTAAAGAAAAATAAAAGGTATTATATATAATTATTTTATGCCTGATATTTTAAAATAACTATTCCCATACTTATGTAAATATATAAAGACTAGAAATGTGCAAAGTATTCACTTTTATATCCATGGGTGTAAGATAAAATTGCATTCTCTTATAAAATCCTATATTATTTGCATCTTCCAGTGGGAATTTGTATATGAAATAAGTGTGGTTTTTAAAAGATCTACAAAGTAAGTAAACTTATGCTCAGGTTTTTAAAAAATGTTAAAAAAAATAAAAGAAGATTGAATACTTTTTTTTTTTTTTTATTTTTCCTTTTTATCGGTATCAGGGATCAAACTCACGACTGCCTGCTTGCAAGGCAGGCGCTTATGCCGCTGAGCTAAATCCCCAGCCCCAATTGAATACATTTTTAAAGCAAGTGAAAAAGCAAAAATACAAATGAGTTCCATGGATTATCAAGCCCAGCACTGGAACCTGCATGTCAGTGCTGTGAATTAAGGCGCAATGTAGGGATTTGGTTTTAATGCATTTTATTATTAGAATTATGTTGCTTCATAAAATAATATTAATTGCCCTTGTTCAGTGGGTTTTTATTTGCTCAGTCCTCTCGCTTTTGTGAGAAGAGAGGATTTTACCTTTGTGGAATTTGAAAGTCTAGCTGTGAAAAATATGAGCTCAAATAATGTTCTTGGTGTCTGCAGACTTCCCTTGGAAGTTATGAATTAGGAAAATAATTTTTTTTGGTCCTTTTTGTTTTTATCAATACCAGGTATCGAACTCATGACTTCCTGCTTGCAAGGCAAGAGTTTATGCCGCTGAGCTAAATCCCCAGCCCTGAAAATAATTTTCTTAAGATGATTTCTATGGCCAGTTGCATTGACTGTGGTAAAAGAGAGAATTCCGTTTTATGAGTGTTGGAAGAGCAGCCATGTGTGAGAGCTAGAGCGTGGGATAAGAAGGTGCACTCTGGCTCAGGACTGCTTTCATTGCTGGCGAGTTGAAACTTTTACCTCGTTACAGACTACAACTGGTTTGGTATTGCAAATAGTGATGAAGAGAATATGCAACACTATGTTTTCAGTTATAAAAAAGCTTTGCAATCTAAAAATACTGTGACAGTGAAAGAGCAGGAGGAGGAGCCAGGGCGGAGTGGGTTTTGTGGAGGCCTCAGCCTTCTCCCTGAAACACCAGATTTTGTATTTGTTTTGGGGCTTTGTTCCACAGGTGACTTTACTGCCTATATCTGAACAGTGGACTGTGCTTTCCAGTGTAACACCTTTTGTAAAGACATGTTCCTTGGGGCGCCTTAAGGACATCCCCCAAGGCAGGGCTTCCTGAAATAATGCTAACTGGCAGGCAAGCCCTCAGGTGGGCTAGGCTGGTGGTCAGGGCCTCAGGAAGGAGACTTTTCTGCACAGGAATGCAGAGGGCTCATTCAGCTCAGTGACTGGTCCCAGATCCGTGCACGGTGCCTTGCTGGTTGTATCCACATGTGTCATCTCACTTACTCCCTGGCAGAACCTTGCAGTGTGGATAGCATTATTCTTCAGGTGAGACTCAGGAAGAAGACGCAGCTGAATCTGGTTCATCCCAGTTAGTGGGGATCCATTGCAAGGTTCTTAATTTCTCTCCTCTCAGCTTTTTCCGTTACCTATTTCTCTCTCTCTCTCTCTCTCTCTCTCTCTCTCTCTCTCTCTCTCTCTCTCTCCCTCTCTCTCTTTCTCTCTCTTTGTGTGTGTGTGTGTGTGTGTGTGTTTCTCTCCTGCCAAGAAGCTAAAGAGAAATAAGAAAAGAAGATTTTGATAACATATTTGATAAATAGACAAGTACTTTGGAAACTATACAAAATGTGTTGTTAAGTATTTTGGCATTTTGAGTTAAATGGATAGAATGTTTGCAAATGGTTTCAAATGGGACTTGTGTACACTGACTTGAGAGTTCAGGTTACCCGTGGAGCAGTGTTTACTGCACTCCCTGCATTAGCACAGAATGGAAATTAGGCCTTTGCTAGGCCATTGTCAATGCACTGCTGATACACTAAGTCTTTCCCTATCTGTCATTAGGGCTGGATGTGCGGTGGTCACTCTTGGAATCATTCTTGCCTTAAGACTTGTGGTACTGACATTTATTCTGTAAAAATACAGTGAGTGTGAATTTTCTGCTGGGAATATAGTTCCAGGACCATAAGAACAAAAGACAAGTCAAAGAGGACCCTAGATGATTTCACCATTTAATGTTGGATAAAGATTTGAACAAGTGGAACAGTTTGCAAAATGGAATTTTATATGTGACAGAGGCCATTAAAGAGGTCCTAAAGTGTACAGCTGTGAGAAAGGTGTATACATTCCTTAGCGCCCCTTTGGTTGGGGGATCTGCTGGCTGCAATTTGCAGAGGCCAGAGAATAAATAAATGTGGGTTCCTTGTTCCAAATGTAGGAAACTTTTTTCAGTTACCAATACTAAATATACAGCTTTTATTTTATCTTCTTGGTTTTTCTCATGCTATCATGGTGTTCATTTGCTATTTAGCGTTGTTTTATAAGTGTGGCAGTATTCAGAGGGAGTGCTTACCTACAGGTGCTCCAGGTTGGTGCTGCATCTTGATGCACTCATGGCCTCTTGGTGTCAGGGATTCCCAATCCTCTCATGAGTACTTTGTGTCCCGGTCTGAGGCAGGGAAGAGGAGTCAGTCATCTGTGGTGTTTATACACAATGGAGTACTACTCTGCCACAGGAAGGGTTAAACTTGAGTCATTTTCAGGAATCAGATGCAGCCTGAGACTGTAAGGTTAAGTGTAATAAATAAGACACACACACACTTAAACATCGCATGGTTTTCACAAAGATGTGTTAAGGACATATATCAACTCCCTACAAGGAATGCCACAATGATGTACTGAAAACATGGACTAATGCAAATAAAATTGAAGGAAGAGCCCACCACCCCAATCCACAGCAGCCGGGAGGACCCAGGGTGTGGCCATCTGTGACCCTGCTCCTGGATCTCCCGCACTGAGCATCTGGGTGTCTCAAGCTAGCACTAGGGACATGGCCATCACACTGTGTCTGGAAACCTCAGAGCATGTGCATTGTGCCCAGCCTAGCCCACTCCAGTCCCTGTCTGAGCATGGGATCCTGCTAGATTCAGGGGCAGCAAGGCCTGAACACCACATTAAGACACCACACTCCAGCACATGCTTAGTGTCCCGGTGGGCTCCCCTGCAAAACAGAACAAAGTGTGAAGCCACGGAGAGCTTGGAGAGGGGACTACCCACAGCCCGGGGCCTTCTGCCTAGTGCTGTGCTTGTGAAGGTGGTGGTGCCACTGTGTAGGAGAACTAGTTAAAATAGAAGGCTTCCATGACCAGGCTTCCCAGGTTCATCACAGAATCTAAGCGCAAAGCGATGGCTGAGATTTAGGAACAGATTGCTCCAGGACCCCGGGGCACTCTTCCTCTCTCCTGCCTACTCTCTGCTTCTCCTGCTGGCTGACTTCATACTTGTCTTTTGCTGCATGCTGAAATCCTGTTCCTTTGTGCAGCTGCCTGAGGTAGGTCTCTGTATGGCAGTCTAGAAACTGTTCCTACCAGGGTCCTGTAGAAGGTCATTCTGTTGGAACCTGGTTCAGAGTAAGCAGCTTCAGAGATGCTAATTCTGTTATGAAAAATGCAAATATAGGGATTTATCATGGGAACCTGAGGGGGTCTTTGTTGTTTTGAGACAGGGCTGCCCTACATATTACAGGCTGGCTTTGGACTTAATATGTAGCCTCTCCTAGCCTCAAACACATGGTCATCCTCCTGCCTCAGGCTCCCAAGTGTTGGATTACAGACTTGTATCATCACATCTGCCCAGAACTGGTGTGGATTGAGGAGACCTCAGAAAAGCCTCCTGGTCTTTCCTTCACATTCAGAACCAATGGAAAAGAACCTAAAGAATTCAAGAACACCAAGGTCAAAACGCCAGAGTGAAAATTTACAAGACTATACCAAGAACATGGCTTATACATAAGACAAGGATAATATTCATAATGCTGAGCTCCCAAATTGGACAGGTCCATGCAGCCAATCAGAGATGGACAGGATTAACCTGAGGGCAGGGCAAAATGGGGCTTCCCCTCACACTGTGTGGGGCCTGAGGAACAACTAC